GCTTCAACACAGAATCAGGGAGTCCAATATGGTGGAAGAGGGCAACAGGGAGCCTCTGGAGGGAGCTAGCTTCAGTGAAAAAGCTAACAGGATCGTTAATTCACCATTGGAAGAATGTTTTAGGGGCTCAGATTTTACATGTGAGGAAAGGAAAGCCCAGACAGGGGGAATGATTTGTCTAGAGTCACACCTTTAATAAGTGTTTGAGGTGAGATTTGAACCCCATTCTTACAGAATCTATGCCCCATTGCAACAGATCTTTGAGAGAGCTGGGGCAGGATCTGTTGGAGGGAGATGTTGGCTTTGCCTAGTCCAAACTCCCTTATTTTACATGTGAAGACACTGAGGCCCAGAGAAATTCAATTACCTGCCCAAGGTCCCACTGAGTAGGAGCCAGGATCTGAATCCATTTCCTCTGACTCTAAAGTTAGCATTCTTTCCTCTATCAGAGGATAAGTTTCTTGGGGCAGATGAGGATGGGATGAGGGGAAAGAGGACTCCTAAGGGGGACAGAAGATTCACTGGAGTGGGAAGAGGGTCTGTTCCATGGGAAAATAGAGACAAAAATTTAAACTTCCCTTTGGCCCAGGAATGGTTTGGCTCTCAATGGTGGAAGCCTGTGGCAGTTGCTTTGGGATGGATAGGAATTGGGACCCAGGCCCATCAGCTTCTCCATTTTTCACTAAGACTTGACCTTTCCCCAAACGCCTCAGAGGTAAGGCTGTCTCCTTTTCCTAGGACAGGCTGTAATTACATTTGTTGGCCCTGACCTTTGAGGTCAATGACTTCATAATCATGCCTTTGGCCCTAACTTCTATCAAAGATCAGAGCAGATGGTTGTGGCCTGTGTTGGGGAGAAGGAAAAGAAGGGGCAGCCTTAGCTTTGAGGGGCCTGGGCACCTGCTGAATTTCAGTTTCCGGTCCTTCTCCCCTCCCCCACCCTCTCCCTGTCCCCTCTGGTACATGTGGGGCCAGAGCAGGTCCAAAGCTGTCCCTGTCTGTGAGCCACCCGCCTGCCAAACCCAGGTGACCCCACGGTTTGCATGAGGCCAGCTTTCAGATTTGCATTTGTGTCTATAAAGAAGCATAGGCCTCCTGTGGCCTGTGGTCCACATTCCCCCGCAGTCACACCTGGGGCCTCAAAGGGTTAACTCTATTGATTTGCATATGGAATTATTTCTGGTCAGAGGGGACGACCAGGCTGAAGTGCGTGCAGAAAACAATGAGCATTCATTCAGTAAATTCAGTGGCTCTTATGCAGTATGTTGCAATGGAAAGGGCCCCCGGACTGAAAGCCAGGAGACATGGCCTTGATTCCCTTCCAGGACACTGAGCAATCATTTGTTGCTCTGACTGAGTATTTGAAGGCCTGCCATGTGGGAGAGGGTGGAGTTTTTCTGCTTGGTCCCATATGACAGAATGAGGAGCAGACATTGTAGAAAGACCGATTTAGGGTCAATGCTAGATCTTTCTTGATAATTAGATTATCACAAAGTAGAATGGCCTGCCCTCGAAGGCCATGGGCCTTCACTGACCCGGCCTTTAAGCAAGGGCTTTAGCGATGCCTAGGTCTCCCCTATCCTGAATAAACCTTAACTAGATCTTACCATCCCCTCGAGCCAAAGCCTACACATCTCTTCTCTTTCATGGCCAAATTCCCAGAAAAAGCTGTCCATACTCTGCCTCCACTTCCTCTTCCTCTCATCCCTCATCCCCTTGCAATCTAGCTTCCAATCTTGTCACTAAACGGAAACCGTCCTCTTCAGAGTTATCAATGGTCTCTTAACTGGGAAATCTGACAGCCTTTTTCCATCTTTGTTCTTAATAACTCAAACTTTTGACCCTGGGGACCACTCACTTTCTCCTTTCGGGGTGACAGAGCTCTCTCTTGGTCCTCCTACCTAGCTGACCACTTCTCCGTTTCCTTGGCTGGCTCATTGTCCATATCGTGCCCCCACATTCTGTCCTGGGCTCTCTTCTCTCTATACTCACTCACTTGGTGTCCTCGTCGGCTCCCATGGGTTTAATTATCATTATTAGGTTGTTGACTCAGATCTCTATATCTAGCTCCAGTCTTCCTCTTCAGTATCCACATCATCATCCACATGCCTACTAGACCTTTTGAATTGGATGACCTATAGATATCTCAAATTCTGCTTGGTCTAAACACAATTCATGGTCTTTCCTCCCCAAACTCACCCTCCTCTGAACTTCTTTATTTCTGTCGAAGGCCTCAGCATTGTTCCAGTTACCCGAATTTGCAACTCCTCATCTCACCCTCCCCATATATCCAGTCAGTTGCCAGATTTTGTCATTTCTACCTCCAATTTCTGCCTCTTGGATGTTTCCCCTTCTCTCCACTCATTCAGCCACAAACATATTGGCCCTCATCATCTCCTGCCTGGACTTTTGCAATGGACTTCTAATTGGGCTACCTACCTCAAGTTTCTTCCCACTCCCATCCATCCTCCACCCTTCTGAAAAGATGATTTTCTTTAAGCACAGTTCCTACCACGTCACCCCGCCCCCTACTCAATAGCTTCCAGTGACTCTCTATTACTTCTGGGATCAAACATGAAGCCCTTTACATTTAATAAATGGGGACGCCATCCTGCCTTTCCTACCTTATTACATATTATTTCTCTTCAGGCATACTATGCGCCAAACAAACTGGTACACACACACACACACACACACACACACACACACACACTCACTCCTTCTTCCTCTCTTCCATCAGCTGTCTCATATCTAGGATGCTTACTTTCCTTGCCTCTAGCCCTTAGAAGTCACAGTTTCTTTCCACATGAAGCTTTTCCTGATCTCCCCAGATGCTAATGCTTCCCCACCCCTCCCCAAATTTTCTTATATTTATTTTGTATGTATATATGTGTATGTATAGCCATAGCTTACAATGTAGCCAGAGGAGACAATATATGTATATTATATATGTGTACATATATGTCATATTTATGTATGTATTTTGTGTGTATGTTGTGCATGAACTATGTGTATGTGTGTGTATATATACACATATATATGCACACTTAGATAGATAGAGATATAGATGTTGTCCTTCAAGATAAGCATCCTTCTACTTTTTTCTCTGTATTCCCCATGCCTGGCACATAGGAATAAGGGAATAAGGAATCCTTATATAAATTCTGAATAAAAGGATTTGTTCTGTGAAGTTTGGATTCAGCTCAAGGGCCACACTTGAGGACCTAGAGGGCCACATGTGGCCTTGAGGCTACAGGTTCCCCACCCCTGGATTAGACTGTGGTTTTACTAGTTTAGGGAACCCGCAGGTGAGGAGACATCTTCTATTGACACAGGTGAACACCTTCTCTGTAGCTGGTAGTCTAGAACCCTGAGAATAACTTGTCCAGGGTCACCCAGCTGATATGTACCACAGTCAGCATTTAAACAGATTTTCTTGGTTTGGCTCTGAGACCAGCTCTCTGTCCATGACTCCATGCTACCTCTTATCTGGCATACAGTTGGCATTTAATACATGCTTGCTTGCTTGCTTCCTTCCTTCATAATAACAATTAATGTTTCTACAGACTTGAATAACAATTAACATTTATATGGACTTGAAGACTTGCAATGCACTTTACAAATATTATCTCATTTGCTCCTCAGAAGTATTCTGGGAGATAAGTGCTATTATTACCCCCATTTTACCGATGAGGAAACTGAAGCAAGACATCGGCTAAGTGACTTGCCCAAGGTTATGCACCTAGTAACTGTCTGAGGCCAGATTGGGACTCAGATCTCCCTGGTTCTAGAGCCAGTGTTCTATCCAATGTGCCACCTAGGTCCTTATTGATTGATTGGAATGGTGGAAGAGTAAAGGATAGTTCTGAGTTTCAAGACCTGAAGCTTCCTTAGGCTGGTGTGTGTGTGTGTGTGTGTGTGTGTGTGTGTGTGTGTGTGTGTGTGTAAGGGGTGGTGCTGAATTAGTGGGGAAACTGGACTGGTGTCAGGGGCAATAGGTACAAACCCAGGGCCCCCTGCCTCACCATCTTTGGCCAGAGTCTTAGGCAGAGACTTCCTTTCTGGATCCCAGTGGAAGGGAAAGATTCTAAGATCAGGTCCCATTCTTGGGCCTCCCCTTGTGAGCCTGAGGTCCTGAAATATGATGGCTCTTTGACATTGATTTTATCCCTCACCAACAGCCAGGGCTTTTGTGTGAGGGAGTTTGATGCCATTGGAGCCGAAGAAGTAGGAAAGAAAAGGTCCCATTGGCCCCTTTCCCTTTTCCTGCCCCCTCCTTGGAGAACCAGCATGGTGGTTTAGAAAGAACCCTGAAGTCAGAAGACCAGGACCCAAATCCTAGCTACCCTAGTGTGAGAGATTTCACCTCGTGTGCCATAGCTTCCTCATCTCTCTGGAAAGTGAGGGGAATGGAGCAAGTGACCTCCCAAGGCCTTTCCAGCCCTGGATCTCATGGAGTTGGAGGCCGGGCAGGGAATATGGAGCCTGGAGAAGTTAAGGCTGGGGGGTGGGGTGGGTATGGGGTGAGGACATCTATGTAGCCAAAGCCTTTGTACTTAGCTTGGAGCCAGAGATCAGGACAAAGGACAAGGGCCATGGGAGGGAATTATAGAAGATTTCAACTCAAGGAAAAACTTCAGTGAGTCATAGCTCTAAAGTTGGAAGGGACCCTCCAGGCCAACTAGGCCATCCCCTCATTTTACACATGAGAAAACTGAGGTCTATAAGAGGGGAAGCCATTACCCAAGGGCACGCGGGAAGTAAATATCAGAACCTGCGTTCAAGCTGTCCTCTGACTCCAGTGTTCTAACCATTGTAACACCTTGCCCTTCTTAACAATTAGAGCTGCCCTGAAGGGGGATGGTCTACCTGGGGAGGTATGGAGCTGGTCATCCAGAGGCCGGATAACCACTTGTGGCCAGTTTCATGGAAGGGATCATAGTTCCAGTTTGAAGATAGCCCTAAGATCTCCCCCTCTTCCATTTCTGAGATTAGATGAGCAGCCCTGGAAAGGGCTCAGCAAGCCGTCATAGCAGAGGTGCTAGTCCTCCCTGAACACGTCAGACATTGAAAAGGCATCTGGAGCCATCACCAGTCGACTTGACTTTTGTCCTGCTACTGGACTTCATGACTTTGGAAGAGACAGTAAGGCTGACAACTGTGCAACTCTGCCTCACTGAAATCTAATTCATATGCAAGTCAAGACATCACCCCGTGATGACATTGGTCCTCTTCGAAAACAAGAATGAACAGCGACCGTCTTCTGCCTGCAGCCCCACCCCCCCTCTCCATGACTGGGGGTGATGGGCCCCCATGGAGGAAGGGGCCCAGCTGGGAAGCAGGGTTGGCACTTTCCCTTGGGAAGGCAGGGGGCACAGCTCCCCATGTCACCAGGCGCCCCTGGGGGCCAGGCGGGGGTGGAGGGACGAGGCCCGGGCCGTGGGAACTCTGCGGTTTCCGTCCAGAATTAAAATTAGCCCTGATGTTAAATTTAGCACCAGCCCAGAATTGAGACTGGACCCCAGCCTTGTCCCTCCTACTTCCAGGCCCTTGGCTCCCCAGGCGTAGTTCGAAGAGTCCTAGGCTTGGGAACAGGAGGTCCGGGTTCCAATCACAGCTCTGCTGCTTACCTCTTTGTTCATGTTGTCAGCCTATCCCCTAGTAGAGACTTCCAGTGATGGGCAACTCATTACCTTGATTCAGGTCATTCCACAAGAAGGTTCCTTCCAACTCTGAGACACCTGTGTGACCGTAAGAAAGGTCTATGAGCTTGTTTTCTCATCTCTAAAATAAGGGGGGCTGGACTAGATGACCCCAAAGGTCCTTCCCAACTCTAGTATTCCATGACTCTATGACAAGTGGATGGGACATGCTAGGGGGTAAGGAGTCCCTAGGCCTATGTCCCCCAAGAGCCCTTTCCCACCCTTCAAGGCCTCTAGCCTTCTCCTATGCAGAAGGATCTACAAATCCTACCAGTTTCTGGGGCAACCCTTCTTTCCCAAAATACCCAGAACATATCCCAGCCAATTGGTTCCCAAACTGGGCTAAGGCCTGGTGAAGACACAGCCCTCTCCTCTCACCCCTACTGCTTCTCTCACGCTACCAAAGGACTCCATTTAGCGACTGTGGTGGCTGGTCCTGGTTCTGTTTCCGGAGCCTGCCCATAGATTTAGCTTCTGTGGGTGGGAGTTGAGGGGGAGGGAAGGAAGTAAAAAATATAACAGCCCTCCAACCCAAACATCCTAAGGAATTTTTCCCTATGTTATTGGCTACATCACTTCCAGAGACTCAGAAAACTGAATCTGGACGGTGCCTCAAAATCCAATCCTAGTCTGAGCAGGAATGTCCAGACCCATATCCCCAGCAAATAGACAGCCAGCCTATATCTGCCAAGGCAGTACATCCTATTTGGGCAGTCCTAATTTTAGGGATATTTTCTCTGACATCAAACAATCGAGCAGAATGTTTGCTGTTCAGCCATTTCAGTCATGTCTGATTCTTTGTGACCCCATTCAGGGTTTTCTTGGCAAAGATGCTAGAGTGGTTTGTCATTTCCTTCCCCAACTCGTTTTACAGATGAGGAAACTGAGGGTTAAGTGACTTGTCCAGGGCCACACAGCTACTATCTGAGGCTAGATTTGAACTCAGATCTTCCTGACTCCAGGCCCAGGGTTCTATCAGCTGCACCATCTAGCTATCCATGAGCAGAATATAACTTCTCTCTGTTGTTTTAAGTTCAGCTTTCTTGGGGCTAAGGCTAAGTACCGCTTCAAACTTTTCTCTTCTTGCTAAGCATCCTCAGTTCCTTTGGCTAGTCATCCTATAAAAAGGTCCGTTTGTCTTTCTGATTGCCCCCTTTCCCAACATGCTCCAGTTTGTCAATGCTCTTCCTAAAAAGAGGCCCCCATTGCTGATCACAATACTCCAGATGAGGTCTGGCCAGGGTAGAGGACAGCAGAAGTCTCACCTCTATCCTTCTGGGCTCTGGGCCTTTCTAAATGCAACCTTGCACAGCACACCGGAGACTCACCCTGAGCTGGCAGTCTGCCAAAACCCTCGAGCCTTTATCACAAGAACAGGCCAACTAGATCGTTAAAATAAAAGGGCTGGATTCTTTGAGTTTGAAAATCTCTCCCATCTCTGACATTCTATGTTCCACGTTCCAAGAGCCCTCTTGGGTGACATTCTTAGTTCCTTTTTTTTTTTTCAAAGGGGTATGTGTGTGTGTGTGTGTGTGTGTGTGTGTGTGTGTTTGTGTGCGCTCGCGCAAGAAAGAGACAGACAAGACAATTTTGGGATGACCTTGCTAAGCAGATAACAAGGACCTGTGGAAGAATTTGGGGCAGGAGTGGACCCCGGATATATCAGTTTTCCTCCTGGAAATAGGTTTAGACCAACACCTTTACACCATATACCACCCAATAAGTTGCAAATGAACACATAATCTAAATATAAAAAGAAGAATTATTTTTAATTGTTTTTATTGTTAATATTCAGGGGTCCTAAATGTTCTAAATATTTTTTAAAATTTTAAATTAAAATAATATGTTAATGTTCATAATATTCAATATTATATTTGATTTTAAGTTAATATTTATATATTATTAAATGTATAAATAAATATATTTACTACATTAAATATATTTAAATAATTTAATAAATTAATAGAGAAGGCGGCACTTTTCAGTTTTGCTCAGGGCACAGACATGTTATGTAGTGGTGAATGGATCAAAAGGCTTTCAGCTCACCCAGTTTTCTCTTTTCCCCTCTGCAGCCTGTGCCCGGTCCACACCATGGGAAGAAAAAAGATCCAGATCTCCAGAATTCTAGATCAGCGGAACCGTCAGGTGAGAAGGTGGAGGGAGGGAAGGAAGGTGCCTCTGGCCTCCTCTGAGGCTGCAGTTCTCAGCCTCCCCACTACCTCGACTACCACTGTACAATAGCCCTGGGAGGGAGACAGGGAGGGAGGCTCAGCAGGAGAGGGAAAAGAATTTCCCAAGACCATGCTGCAGGTTACCAGATGCCAGGTCTCCTGACTCCTGGGCCATCCTGCCTCTCTGTCACACTCTGGCAATGACAGAGCCTGGACTACCTTTCAAAGAGACGTCTGTCTCATGAAGACACAAAAACAGCCCTTAGGTGCAGGGTTCTTTTTTTTTTTTTTTTTTTGTTAGGCAATGGGGTTAAGTGACTTGCCCAGAGTCACACAGCTAGTTAAGTGTTATGTGTCTGAGGCAGGATTTGAACTCAGGTCCTCCCGACTCCAGGGCTGGTACTCTATCCACTGAACCACCTAACTGCCCTAGGCGCAGGGGCTTTTTAAGGAGATCCAGGACAACACACTCAGAGGATGAGAGAATTGAAACCTGGAGAAACTGAGTCATTTGTCCATGGTCCCAGAGCAAGTTAGTGGCAGGGCCAAGACTAAAACCCAGGGTATGGTCACTGGGGCTCTGGAGCACAGAGGGAGAGGTTAAAGAGCTGGAGGAAGTCATGGGCAGATGGGAGGGGGTGGCACAACCTTTTTTTCATTTTTCATCTTTTTTATTAACACCTTATTTAAAATTTTGTGTTCCAAATTCTATCCCTCCCTCCCTACCCTCCTCCCTGAGATGGTAAGCAGTCAGATACAGGTTATACATGTGCAATTATGTAAAACATTCCCATATTAGTCATTTTGTACGAGAAGACTCAAATAAAAGAAAAAAATGAAAGAAAGTGAAAAATAGCATGCTTCAGTCTGTATTCAATCAGTATCAGTTCTTTCTCTGGAGGTGGATAGTATGCTTTATCATCACACCTTTGGGATTGTCTTGGATCATTGTATCACTGAGAATACCTAAGTCATTCACTGCTGGTCATCGAACAATATTGTTGTTACTGGGTACAGTGTTCTCCTGGTTCTGCTCACCTCATTTTGCATCAGTTCATATAAGTCTTCCCAGTTTTTCTGAAATCTTCCTGCTCATCATTTCTTGTAGCTCAATGATATTCCAATACATATAATCAGCTTGTTCAGCCATTCCCCAACTGATGGGCATCCCCTAGATTTCCAGTTCTTTGCCACCACAAAAAAAGCTGCCACAACCTTCTTATTCCATTATGATCCCCTCATAAAGAGAGCCTCTATGACAAGTCCTTCCTCCTAACCCTGATAGAGTAAAATCAGTTATAGAAAGTTAGGAGGACTTTGGGACTTTCAGGTAACTTGGCTCCCATTCCAAAGCCCAGAGGTTCTTAGAAGGAGCCCAGGCATCTGAGCCAGGGACCCCTCCCCAGCAGTGGAACGAGCTACACAGGTGTGAGCCGGGGGGCCTTCACCTTCCCCCTGCCTCCCCTCCCTCTCTTCATCTGTGTGTCTGGGACCTAGGTGACCTTCACCAAGAGGAAGTTTGGGCTGATGAAGAAGGCCTATGAGCTGAGTGTCCTCTGCGACTGTGAGATTGCCCTCATCATCTTCAACAGTGCCAACCGCCTGTTTCAGTACGCCAGCACCGACATGGACCGAGTTCTGCTCAAGTACACTGAGTACAGTGAACCCCACGAAAGCCGCACCAACACGGACATCCTCGAGGTGACTCAGGGCCTGCCCCTCAGGACCTGGGAGGCAGGAAGAGAAGGTCTCTAATGGCCCCTCAAGCCCTCATGGTCCATGCTCTAAGACCCTTCTCAGCTCTGATGCTGTGTTCTAAGATTCCTCTATGCTCTGACATTCTTTGTACTAAGGTCACTCCTAAGCACTAACATTCTGGGTTATAGGGTCTCATTCAGCCCCAACATTCTCTGTGCTATGATCCCTCCAAACTGTGACATGTGAGGGATGCTAAGATCCCTCCCCATTCTAACACTCCAGGTTCTAAGGTCTTGTTCTGCTTTGACATTCTCTGTTCTAAAGTCCCTCCCGTGACATTTTGGTTCTGATGTTTCTTTTGGCTCCGACATTCTGTGTTCTACGTTTAAAGGCCCCCTCTGAGTTCTAGTTCTATGATTTTTTTTTAACTCATCTGGGCTACTTATTATTCGTACCTCCTATCCCCTAGACAGGTCCTCAGTGGCCACATCTTTCTCCCCATCAGACCAGGGCTCCTCCCTCAGATTAGGGGATACCTTCAGGTAGGAGCTGTGCCTTTCCCCTCAATCCCAAGGCTCCTAGACCCAGTGTCCCAATGAGGGACACTGTCTAGAAGGGGAGATGGGATCTGATGAAACCTTGATCCCAGGAGAGCCCCAGATTGGGCAGGGATGGGAGGCAGGATCTCTCCTCCCAGTGGGGAGATACCCATAATCCATTGCATCCTCTCTCCTCAGACGCTGAAGCGGAAGGGCCTTGGCCTAGAGAGTCAGGAGTTGGAGCTGGATGAGGGGCTGGTGGAGCCAGGGGAGAAGCTGCGGCGTCTTGGGGGTGATGGGGCTGATATAGCCCTGGTTCGACCCAGGTTTTATGTAAGTGTCTTCTCCTACAGTTCAGTCTCCTCTCTCTAAACCCTCCTCCACCTCATTATATCTGGATTCCCCTTCTCTCTCATTCCCACATCTGAGTAAGGGGGAAAAGAACACTGGCTTGGAATTTAGAAAATTGTGTTCAAATGTCAGCTTTACCCAAGTCATTTCATGTCTTAGAGCCTCAATTTCTTTATCTGTAAAATAGGACTAATACTTCTTACCCCAAATCTTAAACTTGACCAATTATTCCCACCTCCTCTTTGCCCTGCAGTCAGCAACTCCTGCTTTGCCTAGCCCTGACCTGGCATATGGGGCAGTGCCTCCCCCAGGGTCTGGGTCTGAACCCTGCGGACTAGGTGAGGCCTCCCCTGGCCAGGGCCGTCCATCCCCCTTCCGTCCTGCTGCATCCAAGGCTGGTCCCCCATCAGGCCGTTCCCCAGGGCCGCTGCCCCCAGGTGAGAGATGAAGGTGGGTGGGCTCCCCTAGCAAGGGAGTAGCAGGGCAGGAAGTGGGCATGAGGAGTAGGCAGAAAATGAGGCGATGGGGCTGCTGTGGGACGAGTCTGGGGTTCCCAGGTTTTTCAGGGTGGGAGAATGGGAGGGTAGATAGTGCTCCCTCTTGTATACTCCCTCCTCTGCCCCTCTCTCCTCTCAGCAGGTCTAGGGCCCCCACTCTTCTCCCCAGGCAACCTTCCTCGGGCTCTGGCCAACAAGACCCCTCCCCCTCTATATGCAGCAGCTGATGGACGGAGGCCAGACCTGCCTAGTAACCTGACAGGGCCCAGGGCGGGCCTGAGTGCCACAGTGAGTGAGGAATGGGAGCTATGGCAGAATCTGGGGAGGACTGGAGGGGTGGGAGAAACCTGGGTATGTGACAGTACCACCACCCTTCCCACAGAGAACTCTCTATGGAAGCCTCCAGAGCCCCAGCCCCATCTCAGCCCCTGGCAGTGGTGGTCTCTCTAGTCATGGACTGGGGGCTTTTCCCTTCCTTTCCTCTAGCCAGGCAGGTAAGACTCTCCCTAAATACACACACATTTCCTGAGCCCCATTCAGAGGAGGCAGCTCTAAGCTGTGCTCCAGCCCTGGGGATAGAATCATCCACACTTACCAATCATTTATGTATTTACCCAACTACAAGTCAAAAAAAGGTTTCAGCAAGGGTCCAAGGCTAAGGGGCCGGGGGGGGGGGGGGGGGAGGGGAAGAGGAAAGTCTAAATGACTCTAAGTAAGGGGAAGAGGGGGAATGAATCCGTGCATGACCTTGGACTCCCGGTGACAAGATTAGAGCTTGGACTGGAATCCAGTTTGTCCCAGGCTTACCTTCCTCCTCCTGTCTTCCTTCCATCAGTCCAGAGTCTCCCCCTAGAACACACAGTTCCAGCTGACTTTATCCCCACTCCCTACAGAGTATGGTCATGGAGACCCCTCCTCTCACCCGGGCCTCCTCCAGCCCATGGCCCTGGTCCCCTGGCAGCCCCCAAAGGGGGACAGATCCCCCAGCTCCCAGTCACACCTTAGGTGAGTATCCCAGCCCTCCGTGACTCCCCATCACCCACCTCATTTTCCTCTTCTTCCCACACCTCATCCTCAGCCCCAACCTAACCTGTCCCTCCAAGACCTCTTCACCGTAACCCGAGCCTTGCCTGTATCCAACCTAATCCCCAGACTTCACTCTGCAGGGCGCCTGCTGGCCCCTACGGGTAGCGCCCTCTGCGCAACTTCCCAAATGTCGAGTCTGGCGCCCTCAGCCCTGCCTAGCTCCCCAGGCTGGGAGAGGGAGGGGAGGATGCACGGACTCCAGGTGCTGCGTGACCCTGGGCAAACTGGACTGGGTGAAGTCGAGGGTGCCTTCCGCTCCAAGTGTCCGGAGAGTCCCCGGGGGCTGGGAGGAGATGCCTACAGCTCAGGTCTCCCCAGAGACAGGGGCCGGGGCTCACTTTTTTCTCTCTCGGCTCCGCAGTGTCCGCCCCGGCTCCGCCTCGGGTCCCGGGGAGGAGGCTCCAGCGGCCCCGGGAGGCTCTCCGCCGGCCCCAGCGCTCAGTATCAAGTCGGAGCGCGTGTCCCCGGGGGCTGCGCCCCCATCGGAGCGCCCAGCATCCCGGGACGACTTCACCAAGAGTTACCAATACCCCACAGTAGGGCTGGCCCGGCCCTGCCAGCCGCTCCGGCGGCTCCACGTGGCGGACGGCTGGCCCAGATAGGGAATGGGCCGGCCCCTCCGCCCTAGGGCGACCCCCTGGCCACTTCTCCACCCTCGGGACTCCTGGCTCTCTGGGCGTCGGTCTCTCCCCGAAGGGGAGAGGAGAAAACTTGTTTCAGGGACCCCCACCCTCCAGCCCACGTGGAAGGGCTTAGCTGCTGCCTTGGCCCGTTCCAGCACAGTCCTAGGCAAAGAGAAGGCAGAGGGGAAGAATGGAAAGGGCAGGCGGTGAAGGTCGGTTGGGCGACCACTTTGGCGTGTCACTGATCCTCCCAGTCAACGTTTAGGGCTGAATGGAAACAGGGGATCCAGAACTGGAGCTTCCCCTTGGTGGCGTTCCTGTTTCCCCCCCTAATTCAAGGGCTTCCAGGTGTAGCCCCTAATTGTCCCCTCCATCCTCACTTTGGGCTGGGCCTCTGTTGGTCTCCCACTTGCCCTGCCCCATCCGCTGTTCCTTCCTGGGGCTGACAAAGTTCCCCTCTTGTAACCAATAAAAAAAAAATGCTTGGGAATAGAGATTGTCCCATTCCTCTGCTCCCAGGCCCCGGGTCTCCTCTGGGAGACCAGATCTCTTGGAGGTGGCCAATTCATGCATGGAAGAGTAAAGAGCCCCCAGGGAACAGGGATTTCTGGGAGCTGCTCTCTGTGGAGGGCCCATTAAACCCCAAACCTCTCTCTCTGGAGTGGAATCCTGAACCAAGGCCTTGGTGAAGCAACTTCTCTTTAGGCCCCAATTTCCTCCTCTATAAATTGGTGTTGGGGTCGGGGTGGCTCCTAAGTGCTCCTCAGAGCACTTGAGAGTTCTAGGCCTCTCAAACCCCTAGGCCCACACCTCTCACTCCCCACCCCCTCCTATATCCTCACTCATCCCAGCCCCCTCAGAATCCCATCTCAGGCCCCAGACCTGCTCCCATAATTGATGACCCTCACCCCCAAGCCCAAGTCAATCCAAGAAACCTTTAAATGCCACCTGTGTGCAGGGCTCAGTGCTGGGAGAGAAATTTAGGGAGGCTCCAAGTTTATACAAGATGGGTTCCCCGGCCTTCTGGATCTCACAGGCTAGTAAGGGGTAATTACATAATCTATGAGCCTTCGTGAGAAGTGCAGTGGAGAGGTACAGAACATAGTGCTATGTGAGATGTGAAGAATAGTCTTTACCAATAGAGAGGAATCACAGAAGGCTTCCAGGAGGAGGTGGCATTGGAAGTAGGACAGGTGGGAAGGAACCAGCAGATTAACAGCACATGCAAAGACACAGAGGCAGGACAAGCTGGGCGTATTTGGAAGACAGGGGGTCATCTGGTTTGACTCACATGAGGAGTTCAAAAATGAGGGCAATGTGAAAGAAGACTGGAAATAGAGAGTGACCCCAGATTGGAGAGAGCCTGGAATGCCAAAGTGAATAGGCTGAACTTTTTGCTCACAAGGCAATAGAGCCCCAGATGATTTTTTGAACAGAGCAGTAGCATGGGCAGATCTTTGCATAAAGGAGAGTATTTTGGCAATGAAATAAAGGATAGATTGGGAGGGAGAGGGCGAATGGAGGCAAGAAAATAGAAAATACAAGAATAGTCTAGCTGGGTGTTAAGGAGGGCTTGCTTGAATTAGAACAATGGTTCTCAAATATTTTGTTCTCAGGACTGCTTTATAGTCTTTTTATTTTTTTTGTGGGGGGGCTAGGCAATGGGATTAAGTGACTTGCCCAGGGTCACACAGTTAGTATCAAATGTCTGAGGCTGGATTTGAACCCAGGTCCTCCTGACTCCAGGGCTGGTGCTCTGCTTTGTCACCTAGCTGCCCCACTGCTTTACATTCTTAAGCATTATTGAGGACCCCGCCCCCTCAAAGAGTTTTTGTTTTTGTGAGCTATAGCAATCAATATTTCCTGAATTAGAAATGAAGATATCTCAGTGTTATTATGAACATAGTTTGGACCTTGTGAACCCCTTGAAAGCGTCTCAGCGCCCCGTAGATGTTCCCAGACCGCACTTGGAGAACTCCTGTATTAGGATGGTGGAAGTAGGAATAGAGACCCGGGGAAGGATACAAGAGAAACTGTGAGCAGTGTTGGAACGAGGGCGGGATCACTAGAGCCTTGTCCAGGACAATGATTTTTACAGGGGGCAAATTTATCACCCACAAAATCATTTACCCAAGGAAAAAGGAGGGGAGAGGAGAGAGATTCCAGGTACCCAGTGCATTCAACTTGAGATAAGGAGCAAACAGGGACATTGAGATTCAGTGATCCTTCCTACCAGCTTCTGCCTGGGCAGAAAGAAAGTCCCATTCCCAGGAAGCCGGGGGGGCGGTCAGTGGAGTGGGAAGCAGTTTCCTCTCATGAACCAACAGCAAAGAGCAAGCCGGTCAGAACCAAGGGCTGGGCTGTTGCTGGGAGAATGCTAAGCTCTCCTAACCATCCTTTTTCCAGTAGAGGATATGCTCGTCAGAGGCTCTGCAGCGCCCTCTACTGGGAGGGAAGGGGCACTTCAGGGCCAGAGCCCTCCAAAGAGCAAGAATCAACCTGGACTTTGGCGCCAACTTCCTCACTGGCATCTCCAGTGTCTCCCCTCTGTCCTCCTCTAGAGAAAGGCGTCTTAACCTTTTTTGTGTCGAAGACCCCTCTGGCACTCTGCTGAAGCCCATGGATCCCTTCTTAGAATAATGTTTTTAAATGCAAAAACTTAAAATACACAGATTACAGAGGAAACTAGTTTAATTTAAATACAGTTATCTATCTATCTATCTATACATATATATGTACATATATGTATATGTATATTTAAATATATATATATACATATATTTAAATCCCAAGTTCATATACCTCAGGTAGAGATCCCTGCTATGGAGTCACCCTCCTAAAGTCCAATCCTGATGGATTCCCTCCCCCTACTCTCCTTGGCTCCCCATTATCCACAGGAAAAAGAACAACCTTCCTAACTTGGCATTGGAAGCTTTCCTCAGTCTGACCCTAGCCTCTCTCTCCCAATTCATCCCACAATGCTCTCTTCATGGACCCTATGATGAATGGCTTTGTCCACTGGGCAGGCCCTTCGTGTTACCGATAGGAAAAATGAGGGCCAGAAATAGTGATTGTCCAAAGTCACATGACAAGTTGCTATCAGAACCAGGCCTAGAACTTGGGTCACCTGCCTGGCAGGGTGGAAACTGGATCAGAAACAGAAATCAAGGAGAAATGTCCAAGGTCTTGGACTTAAGAGAGAAACTAGGAGAACCCATCAATTCCATCTCCCAGTAGGTAGCATAGGGGATAGAGCAACGGACATGGAGTTGGGAAGACCTGAGTTCAAATCTGGCCTCAGACGCTTACTAGCTGTGTGACCCTGGACTAATCACTTAAATCTCTCCAAGTCTCAAATTCCTCATCTGTAAAATGAGAAGGTTGGTTGTTGTTCAGTCGTGCCCAATTCTTTATGACCCCATATGGGGTTTTCTTGGCAAAGATTCTGGAGTGGTTTGCCATTTCCTTCTCCAGCTCATTTTACAGATGAAGAAACTGAGGCAAACAGGGTTAAGTGACTTGCCTGGGTTCACACAGTAAGTGTCTGAGGCCAGATTTGAACTTAGGGCTGAGTCTTCCTGACTCCAGGCCTAGCACTCTATCCACTGTGCTACCTGCTGGGAGATCGGTGCCACTTAGCTGCCCTGAAAAGTGAAAACTATTCTTGTAACAGAGGATGGTTGGACTCTAGTTCTTGATGCATTTTTTTTTTTAAATTTTTAGGCAATTGGGGTTAAGTGACTTGCCCAGGGTCACACAGCTAGTAAGTGTCAAGTGTTTGGTCTGAGGTCAGATTTGAACTCAGGTCCTCCTGACTTCAGGGCCAGCGCTCTATCCACTGCGCCACCTCGCTGCCCCTGGACTCTAGTTCTAAGGTCCCTTCCTGCTCTGACTCTTTGAGCCTATGATCCACCTTACCTCCAATGGGGAGTGGGATAGAGAAAGGACTCCTGGGAAATGGGACATGCAGAGGTTGGAATGTGGATCCAGCCTAAGGTTCATGAAATGTAGATTAAATTCCATTGTGAGGCTAAATGGGTCCTGTGGGTGGTACCCAAGACATAGTATAGACCTCAAAGTTCAAGAGAGCAATTTTGACTCTCACAGACCACTATGGACAACAAATTTCCCTTAGACTTCTCTTCCTCCTTTCATTTCTTTGTGCCCCCAGAAGCCTGGCTCCCCCACCAGTAGAAGACATTGCATCCCTCTCCAGAATTAAATAGACCTTATTTCATGCTCCGTGACACATTGGGCCAAGAGGACAAGCAGTCACTCATTACCGCTTCCAAGCACTCCTTTAGATTCCATCACTCACCATCCCGATATGTTGCTTTGACCTGATACTGGTGTCAGTTGCCTGTTGTCCAATAGGTTCTTTTCTCTCTGTTCTCCCTTCTGACTCAGTCTTCCTCTTTATCCTCACCCTTGCCCTTATACTTGGAGGCTTAAATGCACAGAGTTGATGGCCCCCCAAGCACCCTGGCTTCTTAGCTCATCTACCTCTGATGCTCCCTGGATCCAAACCTTGACTCCACTCTAGTCACACCCAGTCCCACTTTAATCTCTCCATCACCCATAGATGTACGCTTCCATGGTCAAGAACTCTAATTCCTCCGATCTGGCCAGAATTCATCTTTCCATCTTTTCCTATGCCTCAATCCTAAACCTCTTCCTCATCTTCACTGTACCCTACAATCCTTCCACCCCTCAGTATTCCCCCAGACCATCACCGTTGCTCATCTTCACTGTACCCTACAATCCTGCCACCCCTCAGTATTCCCCCAGGCCATCACCATTGCTCTGCATTCATTTTCTTCCCTTGACCCTAAACCAAGAGTTCTTAATCTTTTTCATGTGTCCTGGACTCCTTTGGTGGTCAGTCTGGTGAAGCCTGTGGACCCCTTCTCATAATAATGAATAAATACATAGTATTACAAGGAAAATATTGAAAACCAGTTATCAAAATATTTTTAAAAGTTCACAGACACCCGGGTTAAGAACTGTATAACTGAGTTCAGCTCTACAGTGCCATTAGCTCTTGAATCCCCAACTTTTTTGTCCCTCCCCTGTTCATGCCTTGCTAACCCCCAAAGCCCTACTGTGCACTGTCTCTTCTGCTCAAGTGCTATTGAATGTGACTGAAAAGAGTTGTATTGCTGAACCACAAATTATTTTATCTAATCTCAATGGAGCCCTCAGTGCTGCACACACCACTCCCTCCCTAACTGATTCCTATCTCCACTACCCACAGCAATCAGTCCAAACCTCTTCTTTCCTCAAGCCTCCCACAATGCTTCCTTGTCCCCGACCTCTCAGGAGCGGCAATCATCCCATACTTTCCTAGGAAGATCAAAGCCATTCTCTTTTCTCCCTTACTCTATATCTAAAACCCCCTTCACATCATGCCCTATTTTCTCCTCCTCTGCTCTGATGAAGTGGCCCTTTCCCTCCCCAAGGCCGACCCCTCTTTGCATCCTCCATCCCTTC